ACTTCCAAGGTCAATTCTTCTTCAACTCATGAAGTCCACAAGTGTCTCAGGATGTAATTTATCATTTGATAAGAACAGAGCACCTCAGATTTTACAATAGACATTAAAAAAAGAAAGAAAAAAAATTAAGTTTACTGTTTCCCTTTCATCTTATCTAATCTAAAACTGTAATTCCTAAACAAAATTAAAATGGGTATAAGAGATGACACAGGAGAAACTGAAATGCACACGGTTTGGGCCTATTCTCAAGTTTATCACGAGTCCCACCACCGATTCAGCTATCAACTATTTTAAGCTTCAAAAAGTAAAACATACATTTTGTTAAAGTCAGAGCTCAGCTATTTAGAACCTTTAGAAAATTTATCCCCACAAAAATCTAAAAACTGTGTTTAGCAATTTTAGATCATTGTTTTCTTTGTAAAATATATAAAGTTGGGAAATAACTCAAACAAAATCAGATGTCTTTACTATTGAACTTTTCTGCAACTAACATGTTAATGTGAACTGTAACTCCAGAAGGCAGAACATAAAACACAACATTCTCTAAAACCATTTGAACGTGAAACCCTTTTTTTCAAAACATCTTATGGACTCTGTTGTAGAACATGCTTTTAGAAAAATGGAATTAAGACAATAATGCCTTAAATAAAACACAGTGAACTAATTAGGAAGATTATTATTAGTAACTTCCATTCACTCATAGATAAAGGTCCAGCGTTCTAAGCCCTCCATGATTGATCGAAACCTGTCCCAATTCACACAGAATTCCCACAACTCTTCTTCACTCCTCTTCTGCTTGGACCCATCAAAACTCCTGGTTCACCTCATGTCCTTCTCACCCAGTGCTCCATGTCTTTGACACTCTTTTTTCTCATACCCAGAACTCCCTTCTTTGGCCACACAGAGGGTGTACACTTCAGATGTCACTTCTTCCTTGAAGTCATCTAATCCTCTTTCCCTCAACTCCCACAGTGTGGTAGCTATGCCTCTCACATCACAACACTCTATACACCACACACATGTGTTCTTATCTTCTACCTCATGAGCAGGACTCATGTTTACGTCATGACACATACTTCTTTACAAAATGTGGATTGCTCTTTACAAAGTCCAAAATGGCTGACTTGAGTTCTTATGTCCAGTTCTGCTAGTCCTTCTATTTTATCACTCAGCATTCAATGTGTGTTTTATCACACTGATAGTACTGCTACCAATGTTTGACATTATCAGTAGATTTACGGTAATGACTTAATAAATATATGTGACATACCAGGCTTTCTCTAAATATTATATCATTGAATCCTCATATATGGTCCCATAAAGTAGCTATTATGATCCCCCATTTACAAACAAGAAAACAGACTAACAGAAATGAACTGACTTGCCTTAAGTTAGACAATTAATACGTACAAACGGTCTTCAAAAAGCTCGTGAAAAACTACGCATGGATTGCAAAATTGTTTTGCACCAAAATGAACTCATGCTAACTTGTTATATAACATGTCTGAACAGGATCTAGTTTGAGGCCTTAAAAAAGATAAGACAACAGTGGGAAAAGAATCCCTATCAGAGCAACATGAATTCTGTTAAAATTGAAGGAAGGATATCAGATTTATAGTGAAGCTTGGGTGGAAAAATGGTGAAATCATTGATACTTATGAAAAATTTATGGGGGCAATGCCCCAAAGAAATCAGCAGTTTACAAATGGTTAACTCGTTTTAAAAAGGGATGAGATGACATTGAAGATGAAGCCCCCAGCAGAGACCAGCCACATCAGTTTGAGAGGAAAACATAAACCTTGTTTGTGCCCTAACTGAAAAAGACCAACAATTGACAGCAGAAACAATGGCCAACTCCACGGACATCCCAACTGGTTCACCATACGCAATTCTGACTAAAAATCACAGTTGAGAAAACTTTCTGCTCCATGGGTGGCAAAACTGTTGTGCCCAGATCAGCTACAGACAAGAGCAGAGCTTTCAAGGGAAATTTTAAACAAGTGGGAGCAAGATCCTGAAGCATTTCTTTGAAGAATTATAACAGGAGATGAAACATAGCTTTATGATCCTGAAGGCAAAGCACAATCAAAGCCATGTCTACCAAGAGGCAGAAGTGGTCCAGTCAAAGCAAAAGCAGACTGGTCAAGAGCAAAGGCCATGGCAACAGTCTTTTGGGATGCTCAAGGCATTTTGCTTGTTGACTTTCTGGAGGGCCAAAGAATGTAACACCTTGCTATTTATGAGAGCATTTGGAGAAAGTTAGCCAAAGCTTTAGCAGAACAACTCCCAGGGAAGCTTCACCAGAGAGTTCTTCTCCACATGACAATGCTCCTAGAGCTCAGTCTGCTCAAAAGTCCTGATTTGGCTCCTTCTGACTTCTTTTTGCTTCCTAATCTAAAAAAATATTTAAAGGCACCCATTTTTCTTTAGTCTACACTGGCATGGGTAAATTCCTAAGGCCCTCAGTACTTTAGGGATGAACTAAATGGCTAATATCATTGCTTTAAAAAGTGCCTTGAAGTGGATAGAGATTATGTTGAAAAATAAAGGGTTTTTTTTCATTATTTTTATCTTTTAATTCCATTTTCCATGAACTCTTTAAAGCTGCCTTGTAATTGGGGATACAGTCCAAAGTCAATGGTAATGTCCATCTGAGACTAAGTATTGGCACAAGAGTGATACTTGATAAATACCATAAGGAAAAATTAAAAAGAACTTTGAAGAGAGAGGCTACTCCCATCTGATACAGCCACTGCAAGTAAGATATGAGACATATTGGTAAATCCATCTTGGACTTTCCAGCCCCAATTAAGCTCCCACCTAAATGCAGTAAAATGAGAGACTACAACTGACCTTGTGGAACAGAGAGAGGAATCATCCTGCTAAGCCCTGCCCAAAGTGCAGATTTGTGAGCAAGTACATGGTTGTTACTATTTAAAGTCACTAAGTTCTTAGGTGGTTTCTTACATAGCAATAGATAACTGGAAATTAGTAATAAGATTGTAAAGTATGGTGATAATTGTGGGAATGGAGGGAAACTCTAGATTTTGCTGATTTATTGCATGTTTGAATGGATAAAAGGGAAGAGCGCAGAATGACTTCCAGGTTTTAGACTGAATGACAGAGTTACCAATATAGGAAATATCTTGAAATCTGAGTGCATAGGTGAAAGAATAAATTCCATCTTCGACATAGCAAGTTTGAGATGTGCCTTTGGGTGAGTCAAGTAAGCTCTCTAGTGGGGCAACTGTACATACAGATCCAGAGTTAGGCAGAGAAATGGAAGAAAGCACTTTTTGAGTCATCAGCTGTCAAATAAACAGTGGCTGAAGCCATGGATTTAGATGAAGACCACCATGAAAAACACAGAAAGTGAAATGAATGAAAGACCAAAGTCAGACATTGGAAACAACATATGAAAAAGGAAAGAATGAAACAGAAGAGCACGCTAGAAAGGAGACAAAAAAGGAAGCATAAGAGAGGGAGAGGGGAAATGGAGAACAGCCCTACAAAGCCTAGGAGGAAAACTTCAATAAGAATGTATCAAAAATTTCATATCAGATCACAATGAGTTGAGGGTTGAGTGAGGACTGAGAAAGTGGATACAACGGACTACAGATTCCAAAGGCTTTGGCTATTAATGAAAGGGGGAAAAGAGGATGTTAATAAGAGGCAAATGTGGAATTGAGGAAGAGGGTTTTTGTTCTGTTTTTTAAATGTGAAAAGGGCAAAAGAGACAATGATATTGCAAAAGAGCAACTGAAATGATAGACCACCGGTCTAGACTAGATAGAGAAGGAAGTAAAAGTCAGAAGGGAGTTGACAGATTGGGAGACAAATTGAACCCTCTTGTTCCTGAACCACTACTTGACACAGTGTATGCATAAAATAAACTAGCATTTTAAAAATATATTGTTACAAATGATTTCATATACAGATATCTTCTCTTGCAAGCACCTTGTAAGAGTTCCAACTGATCATTTTTGTATCCACAGATCTGCGCTAGAACAGATCTGCTCCCTAGCCACATATGCCTGTTTAAATTTAAATTAACTAAAATTTAAAATTTGAATTAAACTAAAATTAAATAAAATTTAAAATTAATTTCCTCTGATACATTAGTCACATTTTAAATGCTCAGTAACCTGTGGGTAGGAGCCAGCACACTGGATTATGCAGATAAAGAACATTACCATTACTGCAAAAAATTCTATTAGACAAGCACTGTCAGAGACCTTGGCATAATGTTATGAAAAAGGCATTTGCTCAGTAAGTGCCTGCTAATCAACATATAGAGATCACATATTAATTCAGTCAATCTTCGAAGGGATCTTTGAGAACACTAATTTGGTTCTAAATTTGGTTAAACTGCATGGCTTATTGGTTTATCAGTTACCCAATGTTCTAAAATATGGATATTAAGAACACTCCCATTGTTGAGGACACTAATAGCTTAATAGTACTGTGAACAAATTTCATGTAACATTCTCCAATAGGAACTTCACATATCTTTTAATTTAATTCTTATACAGATTTAGGTCTACCCACGAGGTATATATATCTTTAAAAGATAAGGAAGCTGAAGCTCAGTAACGTTAGGCAACTTGCAACCATATAGCTAATAATTCAGAGTATGGATTCCAGCGTAGGCCTGTAAACTCACAAAACAGAAACTCTTTCTACCACATATAACCCACACTGTAGCAAAAGGTTTAATCTACATAGTCATGAGAGATTTTAACTAAATCCATGGCACAAGAATATGTACTGTAGCAAGCACTTAAATTTAATTTCTCATATACAGGTAATAATATGCAAATAACTTAATGAGAAGAAACTTCATTTTCTAAGAAATAATACATACATACATACATACAAGGAATTAATATATTTATTCATTCAGTTGTTGTAAAACATAAATATCTTCTCCAGGACGAAAAACTAAAAAGGTTATTATCTTCAAAAATTATTTGTTCAAATACAGTCAAATTTTTCCTTACCTTGTTGAGCAGCAAATGCCTGACTAGCTGAAAGGCTATTTGTTTGTCCTGGATTATACCTTGTTCCCTCTGGAAAAATCACAAGATACATCTGTGGGGCATAAAAGAAATTTGGTTTGTTTTGTATGAGCTTTTTTATTGTTACTGTTAACTTACCAGTGCTAACTCTATGCATGCTAAGAAAGTATTTCCTAAGGTGGGAAAAATGAATATTGATTTACATATGACCTTCATTTCAAGCAGAGCAACCAAAATGCAAAAATTCAATTAAGTCTAATTGTGATATAAACTGTACTTATATTTAAAATGCAGTCCTACATTCACTGTAGGATAGTCATTAAGAATCTAAAAAATACTTCTAATTACATGCTAATATTTACTAATTACTAGGCCATGCGATGCTAACTTGTACAAAGCCCCAATTAATGAAACAGCTTTTTCCCCCTAAGACAACATGGTAGTTTTAAAATGCTGCACATTTTAGAAATCAGTGTCCTTAAGTAACAACACTAAAAGTTCATTTACATTTCATTTGAGGAAAATCATATACAAATATCTAAATTTCTACCATACTGGAAAAATAAAACTGGAAATAATAGTATCTCCACAATTTTGCATTTTCAACTTTCATGCAAAAACTACTAGGAGAAATTAAGGAAGACCTAAATAAACAAATGTAGGCTGTGTTCATGGATCCAGAGATTCAATATGGTTAATATATCAATTCTTCCTAGATTGATCTATAGATTCGGTACAATCCAAATCAAAAGTCCAGCAAGCTTTTTGTAAAAACTGTCAGGATGTTTTTATAATTTGTATGGAAATGCAAAGAACCTAAAATAGCCCAAACAACTTTGAAAACAAAGAACAAATTTAGAAGACAACTACCAGATTTCAAAATTTATTATAAACTGACAGTAATCAAGACAGTATGGTATTGAACAAAGATGCACATATTGATCTATGAACCAGAAGAGATGGTCCATTGATATTTAAATAACAGACCCATTTACATGCATTCAATTTACTTCAAACAATGGGGGGAAAGATAAACTTTTTGATAAATAGTAATGGATATTCATATTAAAAAATATAAACTTCAACCTTATACCACATACAAAAATTTATTCAAAATGAATCACAGACTTAAATGTAAAACTATAAAATTTCCAGAAGAAAACACGGGAAAATCTTAGCAATCGTGAGTTCAGCAAAAACTTCTTAAATACAAGAGAAAAATTATACTTTCTTATAAAAGAAAAATCAATAAATTGAGCTTAAAATTAAAAATTTGTTTCTTCAAAAGACACTGCTATGGGAGTCCCCACCCCAGAGAGAGAGGCCACAGTTGCCACCGCAGACCCTCTGGGACCCAATATAGCAGAGCTGCAGAGTTCCCAATGCCCTCTGCACGTAAGACCCCCAGGCCACCACCATGTGAGTCCCCGCCCCCAAGAGAGACTGCTGCTGCAGCTGACCCCCCCCTCCCCTGCCCTGCCGGACCTGAGACAGCTGAATGTCAACAAAACTCCCTGATATTGCTCCAGACACGAGGGTGGAACAAGTAGACTGCAATAGCCTTACCCACAACAACTAAGCACCAACAGAGAGATACTAGAAATACAAAAAACCAAGAAAGTACACCACCACCAAAGGAATACAATAACTCTCAAGTTCTAGACCCTATAGAACAGGAAGTCTTTGAAATGACTGACAAGGAATTTTGAGCAATAACACTAAGGAAACCAAATGAGATACAAGAAGACTCAGACAACACAGTGAATGAGAAAAAGTATACAGGACCTGAAAGAAGAAATGTACAAAGAAATCAGTGCTTTGAAAAAGAATGTAGCAGAGCTTGTGGAGCTGAAGAATTCATTCAACAAAATAAAAAACACAATAGAGAGTTTAACTAGCAGTCTAGAAAAAAAAGAGAATTTCTGACATTGAAGATGGCTTGTTCGAAATAACACAGGCAGACAAAAAAAAAAGAATTTAAAAACTTAAAGGAAATCTAAGAGAGATAACAGACAACCTCAAGCACTCCAATATCCAAATCATGGGTATTTTAGAGGGGGAGGAAAAAAGAAATGGCATTGAAAATATATTCGACAAAATAATAGCAAATAACTTACCAGGTATAGGAAGAGATACAGATCTTCAGATGCAGGAAGCTCAAAGACCTCTCAACATATTCAACCCAAAAGGTCCTCTCCAAGACATGTTACAGTCAAATTGGCAAAACTCAAAGACAAAGAGAGAATCTTAAAAACTGCAAGAGAGAAGCATCAAGTCACCTATAAGGGAACCCCTATCAGACTAACATTAGACTTTTCATCAGAAACCCTTAAAGCCAAAAAAGAATGGGATGATATATTCAAAATACTAAAAGACAAAAATTTCCAGCCAAGAATGCTTTACCCAGCAAGGCTATTCTGAAACGAAGGACAAATAGTAGTTTCCCAGACAAGCAAAAACTGTAGGAGTTCACTACCACACAACCAGCCTTACAAGAAATTCTCAAGGAAGTACTGGGTCTGGTACCTGAAAAACAACCAACACTAAGAATACTCAAAATATAACAAAACTCACCAGTAAAACAAAATGTTAACAGTAAAGAGGAAAAAAAGTTTATCCACTTGGAGTGTGGATGTTGTCTCCTCCAAAACTCATGTGGACTAAAACACCACTATTCCAAGAAACCAACCAACACAGAAGACAATCAGTAAATCAGAAAGAAAGGAACAAAAGATATTGAAAACATCCAAACAAAAATCAATATAATGCCAGGAGTAAATCAATATATTTCAATAATCACTCTTAATGTAAAAGGTTTGAATTCCCTACGGAAAAGACACTGACTGATTAGATTAAAAAGATAGACCCACAATATGGTGCCTTCAAGAGACCCACCTCACATGTAAAGACACACATAGACTAAGAGTTAAAGAATGTAAAAAGATATACCATGCAAACAGAAATGAAAAACAAGCTGGAGTAGCTATTCTTATATCAGATAAAATAGACTTTAAGCCAAAAACCATAAAAAAAGATAAAAAAGGCCACTATATAATGATAAAAGGACCTATCCAACAAGAAGACATAACAATCATAAATATTTATGCACCCAACATTGGAGCAGCCAGATTTATAAAGCAAACACTATTAGGCCTAAAGAAAGAGAGACACTAATACCATAATAGCTGGGGATCTGAACACCCCACTCTCCACCCTGGACAGACCATCTAGGCAAAAAATCAACAGGGAATCACAAGACCTAAATAACACTTTAGACTAATTGGACTTGGCAGATATCTACAGAACATTTCACCAAACATCAGAATATTCATTCTTCTCTTCAGCACATGGAACATTCTCCAAGGAGACATAGGCCACATATTAAGTCACAAATCAAGCCTCAACAAATTCAAAAATATTGGAAATATTCCATGTATTTTTTTCAGACCACAACTGACTAAAACTAGAAATCAATAACAAACAAAACTCTGGAAACTATACAAACACATGGAAATTAAACAACATTCTACTTAATGACATATGGATCCAAGAAGAAATTAAACAGGAAATAAAAAAACTTATTGAAACTAATGAAAATAATGACACATCATACCAAAACCGGTGGAATACTGCAAAAGCAGTACTAAGAAGGAAATTTTTTGCACTAAATGCTTACCTCAGACGAATGGAAAGATGGCAAGTAAATAACCTGACACTCCACCTTAAAGAATAAGAAAAACAAGAACAATCCAAACCCAAAGTTAGTAGATGGAAAGAAATAATTAAAATCAGAGCAGACTAAATGAAATAGAAACCCAAAAAATGATACAACAGACCAATGAAACAAAAAGTTGATTTTTTGAAAAGATAAATAAAATTGACAAACCATCAGCAAGGCTAACTAAAAAAGAAGAGAGAAGACACAAATAACAAAAATTAGGAAGGAAAATTGTGATATTACAACCAGTACTTCAGAAATACAAGGAATCATTAGAGACTACTATAAATAACTACACACCAACAAATTTGAAAATCTGGAGGAAATGGATAAATTTTTGGACACACACAAACTACCAAGACTGAGCCAAGAAGACACAGAAAATCTGAACAGACCAATAACAATCAAAGAGGTTGAAGTTGATATCAGTAGTCTCCCAAAAGAGAAAAGCCCAGGACTGGCCAGCTTTACTGTAGAATTCTACCAAACCTTTAAAGAAGAATTAATACCAATTCTCTACAAATTGTTCCAAAAAACTGAAACAGAGGCCACTCTCCCAAACTCATTCTATCAGGATAACATCACCCTGATACCAAAACCAAAGATACCCCCAAAAAAGAAAACTGCAGGCCAATATTGTTGATGAATATAGATGCAAAAATCCTCAATAAAATAGTAGCTAATAGAATACAGCAACACATACATAAAATTATACACCATGATCAAGTGGGATTCATCCCAGGGATGCAAGCTTGGTTCAACATACGCAAACCAATAAATGTGATACACCACATTAATAAAATCAAACACAAAAACCATATGATCATCTCTATAGACACTGGAAAAGCAATTGACAAAATTCAACATTCGTTCATGATAAAGACTCTATATAAATTGGGTATAGAAGGAAAGTATCTCAACACAATTAAAGCCCTGTATGACAAACCCACTCCATCCTTAATGGAGAAAGATTGAAAACCTTTCCCTTATAGCAGGAACAAGACAAGGAGGCCCACTCTCACCACTTCTATTCAACATAGTGTTGGAAGTACTAGCCGAAGCAATCAGAGAAGAGAAGGAAATACAGGGTATACAGATTGGAAAAGATGAGGTCAAACTGTCCCTGTTTGCAGATGACATGATCCTATAATCAAACAGCCTAAAGACTGTACAAAAAAATTCTACAAAAACTCTTAGAGGTAATAAGTGATTTCAGCAAAGTTGCAGGATACAAAATCAACACACAAAAATCAGTAGCATTTCTATATTCTAACAATGAACTGGCAGAAAAAGAAATCAAGAAAGCTAGACCATTTACAATAGCCACCAAAAAAATACCTAGGAATAAATTTAAC